AGATCAACTTCTACTTCTTCATCAATCTTACTAGCCTTGATTTTTGTATTAAGTTTTGATCTCTTTGGTGCAAATTTAAGAGTAAATGCTGTGACCCCACTAATTCAAAAGGCTTGTGAGAACACTGGTGCAAGAGATTTTTGTTATAATATTATGGAGAATGATCCAGAGGCTCCTTGGGCAAAAACTAAGCTTGATCTTGAATTCATTACACTTAGATTGGCACAAGTAAACTACAAAACAGTTCACAGGAAAGTTTGGACAATCACTGCAAATGAAACAAATCCAGAATATAAGCAAATTTACAGGAAGTGTCTTCATCAGTATAATCTTTTGAAATCAGAATTCCGGAATTTGATGGAAACCTTACTCGTAAACGGTAACATTGATCTAGCGGCTCAGGCTGCATCAAATCCTATATTCGTGTGTGAGCGTTATTTCACTCCAGGTGTTCCAAATCCCATTTCTGAAGACAATAAATATACGATGTATTTCTTTGATCTTATGAGGGATATGTATCTCACACCTTTCTGATTATTAATTTGAAGAATGTATTTTCTCTTATGATTCACAAATTCATGAATTTATATTCGTGAATTTTATTTAATGAATTTTTATGTTTTTCAAGAGTTTCGATCCTATCCTATATATAAATATTGTTTGTTTTCTTTGGAAAATCCTAAATTTAAGCAATTTTCATCTGATAAACACTCGAAAGTCGTCATTGATCAGAAGTAGGGACGGATCTAATGTACATTTTATGGGTTTATCCTGTGATTAATTTCTCTCTTTTCTTTCTTAAATTTTATGAATTATTGGAATTGTAATGGATTTCCTATCATGATTATATGTAGCTAAACTCCTTAGTCCTAGGGTTATGGTATTTTTAATAGTGTTATTCGTATCTTAAATTGATATTATTAATTATTTCGTATTTGGTTCTTTATTCATATCAAGTGTTTAATTATTTGATTATTTAGCCAAAAATTAGATACTATCTATGACTCTTAATTCAAACATGAAAATGCGGGTTTTATTAAGATTGCGATATGATTGAATAGGGCAAATTTTTGAACCTAGGCATTTAGAGGACAGATTCACGCTTAGAAAGATTTATATCTAATCGATATACAGGAATTATGAAACTACTTTTCTTGTTAATTTTGATTTCATAGGCATATATGTGTAGATTAATTTTAATAGGCGAGCAAGATTCGAAAGATTCATATAAGCAAAATTATCTATGTCGATTAATAACCTAGATAAATCAATTAGTCGATTCAAATAAAGAACTCCACATGAATTGTTAGCTAACTTGTAAGTACTCTTAAATATAGTATCTCTTATTGAATTCAACCCAATTTTGCCTACTTGTTTCTCCCGATTGCTTACTTTACTATTTTAGGAAAATCGTTTGAATAGACAATTAGCATTAATTTGATTTAGGAAGTAGTTAGTTATAAGTCGCTGCAAGACGCTAGTCGATCTAATCATTTTTGACACGACCTCAATTTTTCTCCGTAGAATGTTGTGATAATACCTAGTGTCTAAGACTAAGTAAGCCTAATACTTGTTGATTAAGTAAAGATTTTTAACCAAATAACTACTAAGCATGAAACAGAAGTTTCTATAATAAGCCAACAATCTCAACATGATACTATATCCCAAAACCGGTAGTATAAGTCATAAGTTTTTCTAAGGGCCACTAAAAATAACAATACAATACATGTTTGTCCGGAATAATAGGAAACACTGGAAATAAAAGACTACAGAAGGTGACTTCAGAGCCTGCGAACGTCAAGCAAGTATACCTTGAAGACTCCAGCTGCGCAGACGTAAATCTCAAACCAACTCGATCATAAGTACCTGGATCTGCACAAAAATATGTAGAAGAGTAGTATGAGTACACCACAGCGGTACCCAGTAAGTATCAAGCCTAACCTTGATAGAGTAGTGACGAGGCCAGATCAAGACACCTACCGGACATGTAAATCTGTGCAAGATATAAATTAAAGCTAATAATGAAAAGAACGTTAATATAGGACCAACAACCGCAAGATTACAAATTTACAATCAACAGCGAAACTAATAGAAACACAAATAGCAACAAGAAATAGACGGTAATAAAGAAACGGATGACGACTCAATCAATCGAATCGTTCCAAATGCACAATTTACAACAAGAATTACCCGATGTATCACTCCTCACAATCTCAAATCATAAGTCGCAACTTTCAAACCTTACACATATGTCACCCCATGCCCACATTTTTCCAAATCACTTTTGCACGGCAAAATTCACGTACCACCATGTACATTGTATCCGTATCAAATGCTAATTAAAGTGTTCAAGAGATTTATTTGTATATGATTAGGCATAATAATAACTTTGAACAAAGGAAATCATGTGAAAAAATAAATTTATTTTAGAAATCATTTGAGTGAAGAAAATAATATTTTTAAATAAAATAAAGCATCAGATAAGCTACCAAATTAAATGTGGAATTTGTTAAATTAAAAATAATAATGATTTTTCAGCGAAGTAAAAACATCAAGTAGGATAAGGAGTTTAGGTTGAGAAATATGACAACTATTAAAAATAGTAAAGTACCGAATGAAACAACGAGTTTTTAACTTAAGAGTCATGTAAGGTAAGTGATGTTGGGCATATTTCTATTTATTTTGATATTACTTTACCCATGTTTTAACCGTTTTTTGTTGCTATTTGGTGTTAAAAATGCACAACATAGCTTAGTTATTGGTTTTATGACTAATTGAGTTGTGTGTGATGAATTAGGGTGTTTGGAGTACAAAAATATGAAGAAAAGGTGCTCTAGGTAGAGAAGGAGAGGTTGGATGTGTCGCATCCAACCTAGAAAAAAATCATACTTGGTGCACCCTTAGCAGTGAAGTCGGCCCATAGCATCCGCACCTGGGCAAAGCTGAGATGGATGAATAAAGGGTGGATGCTTCGAGAAGTGGAGGACGAGGTGGATCCGAAGCATTTACCCCAGCATCAATCCCTGAAGCTGAGTCGGATTAGGAAAAGGAAAACTTTGGCCCACGACTTTTGTACGCAATATATAAGCCAAAAGCACCTCTTTTAGGTGATCTAACATACTTTTTGAAGGGAATTCGACCTAGGGAGAGCACAGAGCCGCCGTGGAGGCCGGATTTCATCTTTTCTTCCACCAAACTTAGTAATTTTTATGTTTCTTTGTATGATTTGTTGTTTGGTTACCATGTCTATGTGGAGCTAAATTTCACATTCTAGGGTTGTGGTTCTTTCATGACTATTGTTATTTGAATATTGATTTTGATTTCTTAGTTTACCATATTGGTTTATTTATTCAATCTTGTGCTTAATTATTTAATTGATTGATCACCAATTGAATACTATCTACGAATCTAGAATTGAACTCGAAAGTGGGAATTCTAGATTGTATATAGGATCGAGTAGAGCAAGTTCTTGAACCTGGGCATCGGAGAATGGATTCACGGTTAGGATAGACATATGCCTTGTTTGGTTGATGTACATGAATTATAAATGCATTCTTGTTGATTCTAACTCCATAGACATATAGGCTTTAGGTTAGCTTGAATAGGCGAGTAAGAACTCGACAGATTCTTAGGAGCAATATTAACCCTGTCAACCAATAAACTAGATAAATTAGTCAATCAATTCAATTGAAGAATACAATAGGTTGTTAGATAGCCCATAACCCTAGATCGTTTTCATTAAATTGATAACATAAAAATCTGCTATCCCATTGCTCAGAGTTTATTATTATTATTTTTTATTTTAATTAGTTTAGAATCAAATACTTCTAGTTTTTATTCTTGTTTAGATAATTAAGATAATCTAATTTAGTTAATAGTTAATCACAAGTCCTCGTGGGTTCGACATCCGACTTTTAGTCACTTTATTACTTGACGACAGCGTATACTTGCGTGTGCATTTGGCCGCAACAGTAAGTATGTTAATACTTTTTTTATTCTAAATCATTATGTTGCAAGTAACTCGGTAGGGTATGAGAAAATTACTCGACGTAGTAAATTAATTTTGAAAATTAATCCACCAAAATAATAATAATAATAATAATAGGAAGGAAAACAGGAAATGACGGCAAAGCAGTAAACTAATGAAAATAACTCAATCCTCAAAATCAGTAAATCCAAGAATACCAGTCCTTAGAATCTTATATGATAAATACCGAAAGCTAACACAATACATCAATGAATACAACACACACAATCTGTTGCGGCGTGCAACCCGATCCCACCGTACAAACATAATCCTCCCTTATTTTACTATATCACATAATCCTCCCTTATTCTACCCGTTGGTGTGCAACCCGATTCCACCTTATCATCATATCACAATCATCCCTTATTTCACATGTTGCGACGTGCAATTCGATCCCACCGTATCACCATATCACAATCCTCTCTTATTTCACCTTTTGCGGTGTGCAACCCAATCCACAAACAATTTAGATTAACAATTACAAGAATTACTACAATGAAAGAGTACGAGTACATAACAATAAAGGAACTATGTAATAAACAAAGGAATGCAAACACTACAAAAAAACAGCATTTAATGACGAACGAAATCCGTCGCTAAAGAGCATTTTTCCGTCGCAAAGCACGATTAGCGACGGATTACCATTTGTTGTTGATTTGCTCGTTGCTAAGCTCTTAGCGACGGACAAATGGAATCCGTCGCAATATTATCGACGTTCTAGCGACGAACACTATCTGTTGCTACAATTAGCGACAAAATATCTGTTGCTATATTAGAAAATTATGTCGCTAAATTCACAATGCATTTCGTCGTTGGTATACTTTTGCGACAAAAGGTCGATCGCGAATCCGTCGCCAATATTTTGAGAGTCATTTCAGCTTTGCATTTGGCGAACAAAATCATCTGTCGCAATGTTATTTAATATATTTTTTTTGTTACAAAACATATCTCATATAAATTAACATACTTCAAGGTCAATAATGATATCAAAATCCATATAGCTAATACAATTATGATCAAATTATCCCTAACACCAATAATAAAGTTCAAGCCAAAAAAGGTTCGAATTATCCCTAACACCAACAATAAAGTTCAAGATTCGGTCTATAGTAGCATTTTGCTTGAGATCCAAGACCATATACTCTTCTCTTCTTTCCCCTCTCGCGGCTTCATAATATGCTTTACATTGATCAATATCATATTGAGTTTGTGTTTGTTCCTGCAATATTTTCTGATACCTTTCCTATAAAAGAGGTGTAATAAGTAGTGAAATTAAAATAGTCAAGAATGTTGAGTATTTAATTAACCAACAGAGAGGATACTTTTCATACTCTTTTTACATTGTAGTAAATAAAATTATAAAATATTGGACTTACATGCACGATTCGAACTTTCTCATCAAGAAAAGATTTTCCATCATGCCCATGTGTATGGACGTACAAATGTATCTCACTTGGTGTTGGGTCTCGACCCTTTTCAACAGCCTATACAAAAAATAATTTATTTTTAAAAGGATGAAGATATTACTATAGTAGAAGATGACATGATCCCAGAAGAAATTTAAAGCAAATGGACTTGAATCAAACAATTCGCAACGATAATAAAAGAGAAAAGTACGAAAAATTTGCACGAAACAAAGAAAGCATACAAGAAACTAGAATTAAACTCAATATGGAAAATCTAGTGATCCTTCAAACCATTCAAGTTAAGAGAATGATAAGAAAATACCTATGCTGACATGTTAACAAAGATTGTTTCACCAAAATGACATGGAGAAAGCAAAGGTTCTTAATGTATAAAAGAAAGTGTAAAGCATATGGTTGATATGTAAAAGAGAAAACAAGCACATAAAGTTGGTTACGTAGAAATTTAAGCTAAGATTATTGAACATGCATGCTAGGATGTAGAGTTTGAAGTGCTTAAATGGTCACAATAATAACAAGCTCATAATTCAAAACTACTGAAACTTCACTAGACAAACGCTCAAAGTTCTTACATTGGGTAAGAGAAAAAGAAGGAGGGGTATTAAAAGCTAAACTTTAAAAAATGAGCACCTAAGTAATGGTATATATGGATTAAAACAGTATTTTCGAAAGACTAATATAGGTAAAGCAGAATATGGGAGTATTTTAGAAAATATTAGTATAAGTCAAGAATTGGACAAACATTACTGCTAGATTTCTCAATTTTATAGTAAGTTAGATTTTTCAAATTTCCCCCCGTGATAAACCAATATTTGAAATGCCTAAAATTCAAATTAAATAGTACAAGTCATTCACATTTTTTATTGAAAGAAATGATAAGTTATGCAATGACATAAATATAATTCATTGTAAACACCAAGCTAAGCTATGCAAGCATCTGTGACCTATTGAGCTGAACCAAAAAAGCCCAAAAATACATCCGTTCAAACACCCATTTGAAGTTACTAATCAACAATCAATATAAAAAAGTTTTGATGTCAAATAAAGCTCTAGATAGAGATAGAGAAACACATACACACAGAGAAAGAGAGGGAGAGATAGAAAGAGTAGAGAAAGTTTACCTGAACTTGATTTAGCTATCCGTACAAGCAATGACAATGTTAATTAAGAAGAAACAGAGCTTAACATATCATCAAAAGCGGTGAAAGCACCCTATGAAACAAAATATATAAATTAAATTTCTAATACAAAATTTGTCTAAAGCTATGTGAAGAAAGTTTTTGTAGATCTGGACAAAAAATTAAGAAGATAAGCAGAAGAAGATTAATTAAACTACCAAATGAATCTAGCAAAAAATTCTCCAAACGTTTACAATCCAAGAAGATGGCGGTCTATAGAGCCATTTTTGTGTCAAAATTGACACAGAAATCTGATTGTTATAAGCTTTCATGATATAAAAAAACAATCAAAGGGATGAAACCATATCAGACGACAAAAATCTGTCGAACAAAAAAATCGAAAACGTAATATTTGCTAAGCTACAATACTCTAATAATTGTAATATAAAATTCCAACAAAATACCAGTGTTCCCTTGAAGTTTTGATTTTATCACATCTAAAGTCAAGAATAACCCAAAATCTGATTCTTATAAAGTTTCGCAAGGTAACAATCAAAGACATGAAATCGATTCAATAAAAAAGTCCCAAAACACAAATTTTGCTAAGCTATATAAAAAAATCTCCCAAAGAGATACCAGTTTCCAATAAATCTGATTTTTATCACAAATGATAACAAAAAATTAGTGCTAAGCTTATTGAATAAGAAATAAAGTCATCTACAAACCTTAGATTCACGTTGGCTACTGATTTTTGCTCTTGTTCTTGAAAACCCTCATCGTGTGTCTTTGATTTTGCTCTCAGCCGCCTCAGTTTGCTCTCTCGTGTGTTTCTACTGTTTTAGAAGAGACTGATGCTTTACCAAATTTTTGCCCTAGAAAAAATAATAAAGTGGTCTTCAACGACGGATTTAGCGACGAATACAGTTCCGTCGCTAAATAACATTATTTTTTATAAAAAAAAACATTATCGACGGAAATTTCCGTAACAAGGAGTTTTAAAATATTTTGATAAAGAAATTAAAGCTAGCGACGGATTTTTGGTTGCTAAATCCATCGCTATAGTTTAATAAATTTTGTCACTCAACTTTTGTCGCTAAATCCATAGGTAAATTGAGGGCGCCAATATTTACCGCCAACAATTAGCGACAATTTTTTGATTTCGTTGCTATTCCGTTGCTATATTAGATACTAATTATTTTTTGGCTTCTTTTGCAACGAAACTTTTATTCCGTAGCCAATCTGTCGCTAATCAACGACGGAACAAAAGTTGTCGCTAAAATCCGTCACTAATTGCTATTTTTTGTAGTGAAAAAATATTACAAAAATGACAGTACAAGTAAAACACGTGACAACTAAGGTGTGCAACTAAAGCAGTTAAGACATATAGCAGATAGGCACGGAGTCATGAAAAGGACTCAACAATTAAAAGGTAATAAGTCCATAAGAAAGGCAATAATTTGAACTAAAGCATGTATGCAAAAACTGATAAGTAAGGGACAATAAGTGCTAACAACGTCGAATAAAACATGTAAGATTAGATTAACGATGAGAGACATAACACGTCAGAACAATTAAATTAAAGTCATGAAAAGAGTCTATATAACCTAAACTGGTCAAATACCACATATAGCTTGTGTACCTACTCGTCACCTTGCATACACGGCTTTCACGTAATACAAATAGTACAATCAACTCGAACCCTAAGCGGTAGTTTTGCCCACACAAAGTTAGGCAAGACACTTACCTCAAAGAAGCTAAATCGACACTCTAAAATGACCTTCTCATGTGAAACAACCTCCGGACGGCTTAAATCTAGCCAAAATAACTTAATATCATAAATAAAAATCATAGGAAATAATTTTGAATAATAAAGCTTCGATCTTTAAAGAAAACTAAAAAGTCAACCCAAAAGTCAATCCCGGGCCCGCACATCGGAACCCGACTAAACTCATAAAATCTGATAACCTATATAATTACGAGTCCATCCATACTGGTTCCACTCAAATCCGACTCCGACCGATGCTAAAAACTCGAAAATTCACTTTATAAAAGTTTGGACAATAACCCCCAATTTTTTTTTGAAATCATCAACCAAGTACCAAAAACGAAGATAGATTCATGAAATATAATTAAAACTGAGTAGAGAACACTTACCCCAATCCATATGGTGAAAATCGGTTACGCTCCGCAGTATTACGTCGATGTTATGCTCTGTAGTAATACACTGCGATGATGTCACGCTTCGCAGTATTATGTTACGACAGTGTTGCACCTAGCAATATTACATTACGGTGATGTTATGCTTTGCAATATTAAGTTACGACGATGTTGAACCTTGTTATATTGTACGTTGGATTTGTCGTAAGGTAATTGACATCAGTCCAAGTAAAAGATTATTTGGAGATTATAAGGATTATGCTATTTCACAAGTGATGAATAAATTCGTAAAGGTCAAAGGGAAAGCAAGTCAAAGAAAATGAATTTCTTTTGTCCAAGTTTGGCATATTGGGATAAAATACGGCCCGAGCTAAAATATTCGGTATTTATAGACTAGTGACATGCAAGGTACTACATGTCCATGCTAGAAAGGTGTATAAGGTATGTGAAAAATGAGTAATATTTTAAGTAAGTGCGAATAATTCTCAATTTTTCGGGTAATTAGTTAATTACCGGGTAACGAGACATTACCCGATTAACTAATAAGTGGGTAAGATTAAATCCCCTTCCCCCAACAAAACGTGGCAGAAGGCCACTATATGAGAAAATGACTCATGTTGATTTAAGAGTAGGTGGCTACCAAGGATTTAAGGGAAATATTAAAACAAGCAAGACTTAGTACATGTCTTGTTTCCATGATTCATTTGGACAAGAGCAGAATGTCTTTGAGTCAAAAATCTTGATAAGAATTAAAATAGAATCCATGAAATTCCTTGTAAAGAAAGATAAGCCAGATCTACCTTTGAAAGGCAAGAACGTTGGAAGAAGCATAATTTCCATTTCAAACAAGCTTTAAAGAAATTTTGTTCCAATTTTCAAACTTCCAATTTCGTTCCAAACTTTCAAACTTTAGTTCCTCCCTGTCCATAAATGATTTCGTTCCAACTTCCACTGATTTAGAAGCTTAATCCGATTTTTGGGTTCTAAGTTAAATCCACGAAGGTTTCCAATGGAATATTATACGGAGTTTTTCCTACTCCAGGTATGTTAACGCTAAGCTCTTCTTTCATTTTGGCATGATCTCGTCATTACACGATTTTATTTATGAGCCATAAAGAAAAATTCATATCCCAGAATTTACATATATTTTGCTAGTCTCGCAAATTGCATATATTTTCCTAGTTTGTAAGTTATAGTATTCTCCTTATAGAGAATTCATATTTAGTTGAGTATTTCCTTCTCCCAGTCAAGAGAGCAGAGAATTTACATATATACAGTATTAAAAGTATTTTCATTACCATCGAGCTATAATCGATGGGCAGGCCCCTATTGCGCAACTCTGATCAGATGGTAAGTTATATACCGAGCCTACTGTGGTCGAGCGCTTATGAGCGAGCCCAGTTGGTCGAGATACAGAGCCTAGTATTGCCGAGCGCCTATGATCGAGCCTACTGCGGCAGAGCAGTTATATATATACCGAGCCTACTGTGGCTGAGCGCTTATGAGCGAGCCCAGTTGGTCGAGACACAGAGCCTAGTATGGCTGAGCGCCTATGAGCGAGCCTACTACGGCAGAACAGTTATATATATACCGAGCTTTATAGGGCCAGACAGCTATTTTACTTACTATATTGAGAGAGTTGAGTCAGTATCAGCAGGTAAGCATATCTTCCGATTATCTTTGACTTCCAGTTATTATATTATCAGTTGAGTTTCAGCTTTCAGAATATTTCCTTACATACTCAGTACATTATTTCGTACCGACGTCCCTTTCCTGGGGGCTCTGCATTTCATGCGTGCAGGTCAGACAGACAGACGGGTAGGCCTCTTTTATAAGTGTTGCCCGAGTTCAGCTTGAAAGGTAAGCTCCATGCCTTTCGGAGTTTCCGGGTCTAGAACCTTATGTACATCTTGTATATATATGTATACATGTTACGAGTAGGTCAGGAATCTATTCTGATCACAGTATATCCATCAGTAGAGGCTTGTAGACATATCCTGTCAGCTAGTGTAATATGTTAGGCTTGTAGGCCTTGTATGTATATTTGGTTGGTTTGTCAGCTGTAATAGTTATGACGGCCTTGTCGGCCCAGTTATATATTGACATTTAGTCAGCATTCGCAGTTATCTTGCAATGTAGCTCATGGCCAAAGTATGACATCATATGTTCAGAGTCCCTTAGTTGCAAGTTGGTACGCAGGGATAGGTGAGGCACTAGGTGCCAGTCTTGCCCCCCAGGTTCAGGGCGTGACAAAAGTGGTATCAGAGCAGTTCTGTCCTAGGGAGTCTACAAGCCGTATCTAGTAGAGTCGTGTTTATGAGTGTGTCATGCACCACACTTATAAGCAGGAGGCTACATGGAATTTAGGACTGTCGCTCTTTCTTCTTACTTTAGATCGTGTAGTAGAGCTCAATTGTAAGAACTAAATTTCCTAAACTCTATCTTATTCATAATACGACGATATTTACTTCCACAAAGATGGTTGGTAAAAGACATGGCTATGGAAGAGTTGAGTCAGAGGAACTCGACTTTGCATCATGCTTATGATGAGTAACTGTGAGGTCTTCAGCAGATCATGTGCGTACTGAAAGGTGTAAGCCTCTTAATAAGGAACCTTAAGGGAAGAATATTTATCCGGCTTTATGGTGAAAGACAATGCTTTCAAGAAGTAAAAGAAGCAAGGTGAAGAAGGGTACGAGGCGCCCAGTTTATAAAGGTTATCAGTATTACAGTTCCGACAGAAAATATAAGTATTAAGAGTTATCCTCAATAGTAACAGAGGTATGTACAATTGGTTGTACCCATCTCAGTTATGCCCTATGGGGGCTAACAGGTGTAGTTTAAGAAAAGGACGGAACATCAGGACCTGGCTGGGGTTAAAGTAAACCAAAATGATGAATAGATTGTTTGTGTTAGTTGACATTTCTGAAGGATATTGCAAGTGTGCTAGTATATCTCCTTGTGAGACACCCAGATGATACACTTTAAAATAGTGTAGCCAGATATGAGTACTACAAAGACATGCACTATAAGCCTTGAAGGGATACATATTACCCTAGTGTGGCTCGCGTTCCTAGTAAAGCGAGAACATTAAGCAACTTGAAGAGCCACTTGATAGAGAAAAAGGAAGCTAAAAGCAAAAGAATGTCTTGTTCAAGTTTTCAGAATAAAGTGATCGGCATAAATGTTAGTGGAAAATAAGAAAAGAGTTAATGAAGCATTATGAGTAAGATGTGGTACATGGATGACAACGGTAGATCAAAAGATGACAATATTACAAAATCTATAGTCAAGTGAAAGAAGAGATGAGAGGTGACAGGCCTTAGGACAACAAAAGAGTATAGGCAATACAGTCATGTCCTCATTTCGAGAAATAAGTTCGCAACTCTAGAACAATTACCAAGGGAAAAAGTTAGACCCCATAGAAATCAGTATGGGCTGGTGAATAAGATAAACTAAATATAAATTAGGGACTGAGTGAATTGGTAATAGTCACCATCATGAGAATTTCAGATCGCATTCCGACAATAATAAGACAGATAACAAAAGGAGGTTCATGAGAAATTCAGAGAATGGCCATTCAGGAAGACGCTTCCCTACAGCAAGCAATGTGAGCAAAGTTCAGTTTAAGGGACTGTATGTTCCAGTTATACTAAGTTTCACCGTCGCGAGTAAGGGAATTTGTCATCCTTGGTACAGAA